CTACATTTGTAGATATTTAACTTGTGTGTGTAACAGACTACAATTTTGAGTGGGTGAAAACATGACTAGGAATATATTCCACTCATCAGTCATATTTTATTCTTACTTTGATGAAAGGAATGAATAATAATCATTCCATAGTAATCTGAGTTGAGTTCTGAATGTGTGCACGTACAGTGAAGGGAGTATTGTGCTTCTTTTATCCAGTGATAGGAAACATAGTGCCTTCTTAAACACTGATTTGCACAATGCCATAGAATAACCACTTTTGGTTTCCTAAAGAACCTCTCAGTGGATGGTTCCTTAGAGAACTCGGTCTCACTTTATTTGGATAGTCCCCTGTAGATTATCTACAGATGTTCCAATTGTTAACAAACTATCTGTTGAAAGTCAGTTGATTCCAAACAGTGGTGGGGTTAGGGTTAGGATTTGGATCAGGGTGAGGGTTTAGGTTTTGGGTTAAGGTTAGGATTAGGATTAGAGCAAGTTTAGAGTTAAAGAACATTATGGCCAGTTTAGTAGATATTTAGTTCAATGTAACTTCTAAAATGGACTATCCAAATAAGTGATACCAAAATTTTTCACATAATGTAAAGGTTCTGTAAAGTAAGAACGCTTCACTTGAATTGTACAAGTTTCTTCTTACTCTCTCTAAATTTCTTTGTCAAACATGGTTCTTTAGTGAACTAAATGTGGCTCTTGCTTAAAGGCATTGCTTAAAGCACACTGTGTAGCAAATAATATTCAGTTAGACCTAGAAGAATTTTGGATATATCCCCTTTGAAATCTAGGCTTATTATTCCATATTATGAATTATTTGTATCTAATATGTAAATTATGTAGTTGTATGAGTGAGGAGCTCAGACATGAGCTCTTAGTGTCTAAAGGGTTAATACTAGCAGTTCTACTGAGCACACACGTTGCCACCATAGATCAGAGTCAGGACCTAGTAGTGAACCCATAACTCAGGAGGTTTTCACTTATAGAGTTTTGCCCCTCTGTCTCCAAGGAGATGTAGAGTTTGTGTGCTCTTGAGTGTATTTGCCTTAGGCTCGGGCGGCAGGAGCCGGTTGTCGAGGGGATACATACTAAACACTAAGAGATTCCTCCGAACCCTGTCCGCTCTTTGAAAGCAGAAAAGGCAGGCACTAATGTGCGCATGTGGTTCTGATAAGCAGAGGCTGTGATTATAATTGGCTCTGGGCAGGATGATGGTGCGCCGCGTCCCAAATGAGGCTGTAAGAAACCTGGCGTGGACCTGATCCGTGCTTCGATCGGGTCTTGATTCAGCCTTGCTAGTCTTTCAGCACCGCGTCCTGTCTGTCTGTCTCACTTAGAGCATGGCCTGGAATAAGGGGAGAGGTTCATCTTTTAATTCACTTTAATCTAACCCAGAAATTTTAATCCACTCAAGAGGTCCTGGCCTGTTTGGGGCAGAAGTGTATGCACTGCATAAGAGCAAGGCTTCCTTTTGGCTGGCTGACTGAAGCAGTTGAAGCTGGGATGAGGCCATTATAGGGAAGGGATGAGTGCCAGGGGACGGCATCCATAGATGTAGGCTATGAGTATCTACCTTTTGTTCTATTGCTTTGAGCTGGAAGTCAGATTTTAGGCCAAAAGCTTGATTCTGGGTTGTTTTGGGATTTTATTGGTCTGAACAGATCAAATCTTAGCCTTCATACTGTGTCAACACTATCTGACGAAATATGGAAGCTGAGACAATATTATTATTATTATAAATAATAAAATATATATAAAAAAATCGAAACTAAGTATAAATGTGAAATTTTCAAACATAGGATGTCACGTTTCACTTGGAAGCTAGTTTGGTGTGCTTTATGTCTCTCTCACGCTCCTGCTCTATTGACCTTGCCTCATTTATTTTTTATTACACAGTAGCAAAATCCCTTTAACAAGTGTGGGAATGCTGCAAGACACAGTACAGTTGGCTGAAAAGTATCATCTCACTCAACATTTCACCACTGTTTCACGTTCCTGCTGTCAGAATTTTGTGTGTGTGTGTGTGTGTGTGTGGGTGTGTGGGTGGGTGGGTGTGTATGTGTATAATCTCTCTTGACTCAAAGAAAAGAGTTTAATAAGTGTAAAGTGTTAAGTGAATAAGAGTTGTAATGTATTTGAATATACTGTACTGCATATAATGAACTGCAAAATTTCTCATTATTTTCCTATTATTATCATGACATTTAATATTTAAATGAGAATGTCTCGTCTAATAAACAGTCAGAGACAACCTTTAGTTTATTCAGTTTCCAGTCGAAAGCACCCATAATGTACAATGTAAAAATTATCATTTTTAACCTCAGGGAAAAGCAATATATATATATATATATATATATATATATATATATATATATATATATATATGAATGAGAAAATTACAAATAAACCCAATAAACCTCAACAATTAAATATAATTTGTTTCAGTATGTCCACGCTTTGTTTTCATTACAGCTTTCATGCATTTCAAAAGTTTTTCAAAGAAATCTATAGGGATAGTTTTCCACACCTCCAAAGTTCAGTCTTAGAAGTTAGTTGCACAATCCAAATAATCACAAACACACTCTATGATTTTGAGGTCTGGACTCTTTTTTGCCTATTTTCTTTTCTTAACAGCTACCCATCCTTTCAGACTTAGTGTTGAGGTGTCTTCTCACAGTGGAAGGATGAAAGGAACACCTGTGGATTTTTTCAGATCTCAAATGAATGCAGCCTGATCTTCTCCTTTTTCTTAAATCTATCTATACTGTTTATTTCAGGGTGACAGTTTTGGTGGTCTACCAGGTCTGGTGTGGTTGTTAGGAGATCCAATTTCTCCATATCTTTTAATTATTTTTTGAACTCCAGTTTTGGAATAATGAATTAAATTATATCTATATTACATCCAGTCTCAGAAATATCTCCTAAAAATGAATAACTTGCACTTAACGGCCATTTAAACTGGAATTTAAATAAATTCGGGGTAGTCTCTGATTTTTGTGCAGTACTGTATAAAGCACACAGATAATATTAGTATTATCAGAAAGCTGAGCTTTTCCTTTTTACAGCAGTATACATTCAGTACACACTTCAAAATATGGTGCTGCACTCTAAAAAACATTATATACATTTCTAAATTCTTCACACTTGTTTTCAAAATGGTTCCTTTGAAAGGTTCTTTAGAGAAATAAAAGTGTTTCAGGGATCACTCTAGTGCTCCTTTGAAATGGGTCAAAAGTGATTCAAAATGATGGAGCAGGTTATAATTATTATATAATGTTTCCTCTCTCTCTCTCTCTCTGTATTATCCATCTCTTCTGCGTTCTGTCCTCAGACGGTGACCCAGCTGCTCGGACCCAGCCGGGTGAGTTCAGTAAGCCCATGTATCAGAGTGTCATCAAAAAAGAAGGTGGTGGCATGGGGGCGGGGCTCCGGGCATCCGCAGATGCCTCATTGGCTGAGGACTATGTGTCTCCACCCAAGTACAAGAGCAGCCTGCTTCACCGTTACCTGAATGACTCGCTGCGTCATGTGATGGTGACCAATGCGGTGATGGACGCCCGGAGGAGGAACCACTCAGGCTCCTTCAGCTCCAACGAATACGATGAAGACCTCCTATCCCCATCTTCCTCAGAAACAGAGGCCAACTTCGTCTACCGGACGGGTGAGAAACTGCCAGCCTTTCAGTTTGAATTAGAAACTCATCTCTTTCTCTTCTCTCTGGATCTGATTGTGTGGTTTGAAGCGATGTGGAGGTCGTGTTTCCTCTTGGCTGTGTGTTTCTCAGTGTTGGCACTGTTGCTGGCCTCCATTGCTGGATAGTTACTGTCACATCACATATATGTTCTCTCTTTTGCTCTTTCTCTCTTTTACCCCCACATGTGCAGTTTTTGTTGTTTTGGCTCTGTACTTCAGCACAGTGGATTGAATGAGGTTAAAGTGCAGAACGACTGCTTTAATATAAGGGGATTTACATCTATACTGGGTGAACCGAATAAGAATAAAAGTTCTCTTTATGCATAGTCTCCTAATTCTAGAGGATCAAAAGTAAGGACAGATGACTGCTCAGTTGCTTCTTGGCCAGCTGTGTGTGGTTGCATCATTAGTTCAGGCACAAGAGCGTTAACAAAAGGCCTAGATTTGATTGTAGTTGTGGCATTTGCATCGGATGTCTGTTTGTGTTGTCTTTCAACATGAGGTCCAAACAAGCATCACTGCCAATAAAGCAGGCCATCATGAAGCTGACTAATCTGAAGAAATTAATCAGAAACATAACTAAAAGAAGCCAACACATTGTGAGAAGGCACACTGACAATGTTATGACATTTCTTGATAGCTTTAAATAGTTATAATTTTAAGCAATATTAAGTATCAACAGTTGAAAGAATGTGCTCTTTTCTATACATGCTTGTACAGCCTTGTTAAGATGTGTCAAAGAGTGACCAAATTACTTGCATGACCTCAAAGAGTTCATGTGCAAACCATGCGGTGAAGCCCCAAGAGCAGAAAAACTGTTTGTATATAAAGAACAAAAGAAACCTGCTCACGATCAAACATCTAATTTAGGGGTGAACAACTCTGGTCCTGGAGGGCTGGTCTCCAGCACAGTCTGGTGATTTACCTGTTCCAACACTGCTAAATAGACTTATCTGTTAATTGCCAGGTTAAGTGGGTATATTTGAGCAGGGAACTTTGCTAGACACTGGCCCTCCAGGACCAGAGTTGTGCACCCTTGATCTAATTCCATGAAACATGGTTGAATGGTCATGTATGAATGCCAGTGAAACTGGATTATTTGTTGTAATAAACAACAATAAGTTGATTTGTCTGCTGATGGCAGCAACATCCATTCAAATCCCTCAAAACTCACCCTCAAGCAGGGTAACGTTTAGTAGAAACATGTTACTAAAGCAGCTATGGAGTTTTTTAGACCTAAAATGTGAAATGTTTTTGCACTTCACACAGCATTTCACTCACTTCAGACAAAACTGAAGACAAAAAGACCCCCAAAAAAAGAATGAAAATGAGCTGGCTGCATTATAGGCCTCAGCAGCGCATCACCGAGAGGGATCCTTTGTGCAGCCCCAGATATGGGGCTCCTTCCTGGGATTTTGGGCAGTCATCAGCTGCAAAGTATTTGCAATGAAGTGACCGTTGTTAAGCCAATGTTTATTTATTCAGTTACAGTGATTCCCCAGACAGTTAAGATTAGTGGCCCAACCTAACTTGCAACACATAGAGAGAGAGAGAGCAACAATTGACTCTCTGGGGGTCCCTGAGGACCAGTTAGCCCTAAAAAAGTTGTTGTTTCCTATAAGGTTCACCCAGTTTATGTCTGCATTAGAAGTCAGATGTCACAATCATAGTCATTGTTTCATTTTTAAGCCCAATAAAAACTGCATGCCTAGCTTCTATAGCCTATACACAGCTTATATAGCTCACTGCAATGTATATAGCTCATATACACACTCATTAAATCTGTAAATCATTTGTAAATATTATGAGGTACAATATTTCCTCTAAGTTTGAAAATTGCTTAAAGTAAAAAAAATATTGCAGGTCAATAGTTGAAAGAACATGTATTTTCTATAAATGTTTGTACAGTTTATAAGACGTTTAAGGTTGTGCGAGTTCATATTTTGTCTTGCTGAGATTTAAAACTCATGCTGACAGTAAACATTGTTGTTCCTGGTGTAGACTAGAGCCTGCACAAATCTTTCATTAATCAAGCAGCGTCTCATGCTCTCTGTCCCATCCCTCCTTCTCCTTATCTCTATTTTTCTCTCCTTCTCTCTCATCCTGCTGTCCCTCTCTCGCTTTCTAAACTGAGGTGTGGACACATAGACACAACAATGTCTTGAGTTACATGCCTTCACACCAACCACTGTGAACAAAAGATACTTTTCAAGGCCAAAGGATGTGTGTGCGCGTGTGCGCGTGTGTGGTGTGTGGAGTGTATGTGTGTTTCTGAACATTTTCTAAATATGTGAGTTAATGTGTGTTTGTGGTTGTGTGTGAGTGCTGTTTTTGATGTGTTTTTGTGTGTTATTGCAGCACTCACTGTTGACGTCTTTTTTGTGGTGTGTGTGTGTGTGTGCGTGTGAGTGTGTAAATCAGTGTCTGGTGTTTTTTGCCAAAGGAATTTCCCCTCTGATGCTCTGAATGGCAGGATTGAGAAAATTTAGCCTCTTTTCTTTTTCGTTATATAACACCTACTCACTCTCTCTCTCTCTCTCTCTCTCTCTCTCTCTCTCTCTCTCTCTCTCTCTCTCTCTATGTGGTATATTCCAGAAAGGAACACTCAGGGCCTAATGATTTCTGGGAACCAACACAGTGCATGTCTATCATTTTTTATTTTTAGCATCAGGTTTGTTGTGTACTCTTATTTCATTGTTATGTTTGGTTGAAAACAAAAGTAATACCAAAAGGAAAAGTATTCAGGATTTTCTCCACAGTGTCTAGGTCAGAGGTCAGCAACATGCAGCTCCGGTGCTGTGGTCCTGTGTCTCTTTTGCTGCCCTGTTGTGGCTCCACAGTAGACTTAGATTTGTAGGTAAAAATAAAATAATTCTCATTTGCAGTAAAATAGAGCTTGGCTAATCGTTCTAACACAGTTTAACAATAAATGGTCTTAAACTGGATTTAATGTAGACTACAACTGCTAATTCACTCTTTAACGCTGAAATGCAGACAACAGTCCCACCTAGCTAGTAGATAACGAAAAGGTAAAGAGAAAGATTTAAGACGAACATTGAAAATTTGTAGACGAATGGACATATTTGCATTTGGAAGTGCTCCAGCTGGTTTCCTGATATGTTTAATCTGCCACGAGAAACTGTCAAACACTAAAAAGTTGCAAAGCTGCAGTCAATTTCTCTTTTGAAGCTTCCCATTCCACCTTAAATGGTGCAGCAGTTACATTCTTTTCTTTATTTAAGGTGGAGCGGAAAAATTCGAACAAGATGCTGGTGAATGAAAAGCTGACTTCAGCCTTGTAAAAGTCAAATAAATGTCGCTCTAGACCTTCTGGAAGTCCTTGATATATCACTGACTACTGCTACGAGTGGTAGTCTAACCAGGTTCCAGTCAGTTATTCAAAATGGACAACAGCAGCAGAAGCTCTATGCCAGGGCTCTTTACTGAAAGAGTCACTGTAAAACTGCAACCCAATTATAAGATTCAGATGTCTATATTTAATCTAGAACAACCAAAAAACACATGCACATCTGTGTTATCTGAACAATAACATTAGTAATCCCACTGGGGTGCTAGCAGAAGTTACTGTTAGCATTGAGACAGGTTTGTTCTCATTTTTTTGAACATATTTTTACATTTATGGCCCAAATCGAAGGCCTTGCCAACGATATCTACAGCCTTATAAAGCCTCTGTTTTATAAAATGTAATACATGAAGTTATGTACTTCTGTACTGTCTGTTACTTTTTTTGTCTTTTGTATCATTCAAAGTGTTTTTCAATCAATTTCTCACACGTGTAATTTGATGCTTTAGCTTGTGGTGTAATGTGTATACTGTGTAGAGCGCAGCTGCATGATTCTGAGTTGAATCCTGCATTCTTGCTGCACATTTTGATTGAGGGTTTGTACTCAAGACTGAAATAACATTATCTTCCTATGAGCATAAATATGATTTAGTAAGTGATGCTGAAACGAATGCCGGCAATTCTGTTGCTTATTTTGCCTGAATGTTTGTACTCAGAATTTAAAAGTTAGTAACTTCCTAAATGTATACGCTTCGTTCAAAAAGTGACACAGTATATAATGCTTGTTATGATGTATTCCAGAGAAAGAATGCTATATCTTATTAAGCATTAGTAATAAACTTGATCAGTTTCTCAGCTGATGGATAACAACAGCAGCACAGTTATTCAGTTTCATTTTCTGATAAAAAAGCATTCTTTACTAACGTTTTAAACAATTCAGAATTATTTATACATATCCTAATATCTTTGATAATGATTCCCCCATTTCATTTCAGTAGAAAGTTGAATTTTCCTTCAAGTCAGGCTTTTACATCGATCTAGGAACCTTCTTGGCATTCTTGGCCGTATGATTCTTGGAACTGGAGAAATACATGCCTGTAACGTTGTTTATTTTTATTTCATGGAATCTTTATGCGTCTTGTATTTCAATTAAAATTTTTATTTAATAGAATTATTATGCCTCTTCTATTTTAAAAAGTATTGATTTCCAATGGGTTGGATCAAATTTGTGAGAGAAAATGTCATTCTAGGCCTTCCAAAGGTCCTAGATACATCCTCTATGTCACTGTGTGAATACAGGTATGAAACTGTCACTGGTGCAGTACTCCTCTTGTCACTGGGATGGTACCCTCAAGGGTGCATCTCAGTACCTTTAGGCAGGGAGCATAATTGTACCATAATCCATTGAAATTATATTTTAAGTTGTACTGACTCCACACAACACGTCTCATCTCCAGGCTTTTATTTTATTGTTCTGTTTTAAAACATTAGGTTATGAAAAGGTACTAATATATACTTCTCCTCTGGGAAATGGTATTTAAGGTGTAGTCAGTTAACAGTGTAGTCAGTTAAAAATGGAAGACAGGTCTATGCCAAGGCTCTATTTGGACAAGATTAGTTTTGCATTGGTAAAGTGAACTAATCCCACCCAAATAGGGCTAAAG